AAAAGCAACCAATCACGTCCAAGGTCACCAGGAGAGATGATTGATAAACTCGTGGAGAAATCTAAAAGCTCACTTCCTCGAATTGAAGTATGCGCTGAAGATGTCACTAGCACGGCGATGAAAGCTTCGCAATAAACCGCCATCCGGCTCAGAGAACACAACCACATCAAAAACGCATGCGATGTTGCAACTACCTTTACTGACCCAACAAAGGCCTCTAATTTTAATCGATAGAATCGACATATGTTCTCCTAAGGTTTAAGAATATTTTTAGGGTATTTCGTTGAATAAATCACCTTGTGCGTCGGTGGCGCAGCAGTTGGCATGCTCGTCCACCATGCACATGGTCCGGGATTCGATCCCCGGCCACAGACGCACTCCTTTACCTCACTTATCCAGTAATGACTTGTAAAGAGGGAAGATTGCGCATGAGGCTAGCAACCCCATCCTTTAAAAATAATTAACACTGCTACAGAAACTTCAAGCCTCTAGCTCGAAGCCTTATTTTCCACTGGGAATGTGAAGGAAATTTTAAAAAAATCACCTTAGACTGGTGTTTATATCTGTTGGTGATTCGGTGATTGCTAAATATTCTGTAGCTTCACCATGCATAGTCATTTAATTTTTATGATTGCAAAGAAACTGAACACTGTTCAACGTAGACATCCTGTCATCAATTGAGTGACGAATCAAGCAAAATTTAGAATTCCTTGGTCATTGAATGCAATCTCAGAGACTGAATGATCTTTGGGTCGATCTTTGATAAGGTCATGGGTGCATACTACTGGAGACTGCCAAACTACGATGAAATAGCTGTCAAGCACTTCCTAGTTTTGCGTGGTTCCCTAACTAACCTCAACGTGTGATAAAACCAGACCACATTTAGTTTTCAACACGAGTATTTAGTTCGGTAACTCAGCAGTAAAAGTAGGTTTTTGTTGTTGTTAGAATTGAAAATAATCAGTCCCTTTTATAAATTTGGATAGCATTATCAGAAGACGGAGATTATCTCAAAACTAATGTCGGATGTATTTGCTCTATACATTTCAAACAGTCTGATTACACACTTACTTGTCAAGTCAATATATATGAAAAAGTTACATTAAACAAAGTGACGATAAAAAAGATTTAAGGATGATTAACACAACTTTTGGCAATTCAATCAAATAAGGATTACCAAAATGCTTCTGAATACACAGCGGGGCTTAAGTTTATGAATAGCTATAGCTTCAGCGTATTTCAATAAGCGCCCTTGACCGTTTTTATAAATGCCCTTAAAAGGCTGAGTTAACATAAATCTTATGGTTCATCTCGATTAGACGTTTAGCTATAGACGACGTTGGTCGTCTGACACCTGCATCTATTGGCTTTTCACAATTCATTTGTTTTTCTGGCCATTTTAGGATATACTCTCCCACCCTCATATGCAAAGCGCGATTACTCCTCCCTATGTATGTGTGGCCACATAAACACGAAAATCGGTAAATAGTATGTGTGGGTGTGATGTAATCACTTGTGCACTTTTGAGGTTTGCAGTGGAGCATATTTTTTGGCTTTCTCGACCATTACTAGCTGGGCTGCATAATAGGTTCTACAGATGATCGAATTCAACCTTTGTCTCAGAATCCTACTATTTATTTGATGAAAACATTTTTCTTAGGGGCGATATGGATTGTGACTTTAGAGACTATTTTGACTTCAACACCTGTTTAAAATTTTTAAAGAATATCCGTTTTCAAAACAAGAATATCCATCAATATTTCGAAATGTATAGCGCAAATACATCACATATGTTTTCAGGTAATCTCCGCCTTCCAATTACTCTATCTAAGTTGTTAGAATTCCTTAAGAATCATCACCTCAACCACCCGCAGGTTAATCAATGAAATGTTCCCGCTCTTAATTCAGTGTTTAATGTATTATTTGCAAACAGTAAAAGTAATATGAAGAGACTAATTCTTATTAAACAGTTGATTCCAGACAAATATCATGTGAGTTAAGAAAAATAAATATAATATATAGGTCATGAGACTGATTTTTCTTACAATCTATACGCTATTTAAGATATAACCCCTAACCTAAGTTTACACATATTGATGCATTGGTCGTTTGGTAACTTGAACTTTCTGGTTTTCATCTAAGGTGGGGTCATGAATGCGCAGAGATAAACAGTCCTCAAGCACGACGAAATGACGGTCTATCTCAGTCCTCTAATTGTTGTTGGTTAGGGATTAAATCTACTTTGATATCGATTGAATCCGCACAAAACGAAAAATATATCAAAGTGCACATTGTTCCTTAAGGAATCGTTTGAATAGCTTTCATTTATTTCTGTCCTTTTGCATAACAACGATTCGTTCTTAAGTTTGACCACGGATGAATATCATTTAGAGAACCAGTAATGGACAGCTGTTTCGTCCTAGTTTGAGACTCTTTGACGGTAGGCACCTAGGGATTGAGGTTTGGACCCGGGAGCTTCGAGTTACAAGGCAAGCTGGCTTGTAGACCATTCAGCCACTGGGTGCTGACTCTATGGCCCATGGATTCTAACTTATTCTGATTCTTTCTTAATCAATAGATTTCATAGGTAAACTCTGGGTTAGAAGTTTTGCCAGCCATGCTTGCTTTCTGGGCTGGATCCTCGGTCGACACACTCAAAATCCTCAGTTAGCCAGTGGTAATCTTTAACAACAGGGAAGGCTAGGTGTAAGGTTAACAATTCTACCTCCTAAAAACGATACCACTTCTGAAACTTCAAAGTCTGAAGCCCTGAGGTCTACCAGGAACGCGAATGTATGAACTGAAAGACTACTTGTTATTATCATTATTGTTTAAAACAGAATACTATAACTCTACTTTATTCTACTGAACTCGTCGTAAGAGCAATGTAAATGTTAAAAACTTATCTCCTTTCATCAAAGGTGAAAACTTTGCCTTTTCTACAACATTCGAAAGAATCTATTTAGTTAATTACCAAAAAAGGAATAAAAGGGAACGAATTGGAAATATGCCTTCTTATTTTCTATAGTCTGTCGTTAGAATGTTGAGCGTTCTGTGGAAAAAAAACTTGAGTATTCGGAAGACTCACAGTGTAGTTTCCCACATCGTTTTCACTCATTCCTTCAGTTTCGAAAGGAGAGCTTTAGAGTTTCACCATTAACGTCTTTCTATCTATTTACCGGCTAGGGTCACCAGGGTTACTGTCAAACTTACCTCTTTACCGGCTTTATGACCCTCCGGGAAGAGAACCTAGACTGTGTGAATCATTGGTAAATGTTCTCTCATGAAGCCACTACCATATCATTGGTATTTGTTAAATTCGGTTCAATATAGCGAAAATATTCATTCAGACATCTATAAAACACAAAATAATTGGGCAAAGAATATCCTCTTCGATAATATCCTCCTACCCTGGCTTTACAATTATACATATATATGTTTATATACATAGAATATTCTAGTATGGTAGTCAATAACAATATTAGTCTTTTTTAAATAATATCGATTTGTAAAGTAACGTCGATGGAATTACAGTTCATTAAAGATGCTGAAATAATAATAATAAAGATATAATAGCAAATAGAATATAAACTAAAATTAGGGAAATTTCTACAAAAAATGAGGATCATTCGAACCTAGATGGCCAAGGTAAGGAAAGTGTCTAAACTAGCTTCTTTTGGATACATAAATTAGGCTTCTTAATGTGGATCCCAACAGACATCCTCAGCAATATGTAGTACACGGACTTTTAAGGCAAAGTTAAGCTTTGTTCGTATGCGGTAAATTACTCTGAAAGCCTGGTTAACATCAATCTTGTTTTCTGTTGCATCCACAAGATGAGACAGAATAGCGCTACAAATAGATTTAGTTTGTCTTTTACTTAACCACACAGGGTGATATCTGAAAATTCGACGAGAAACACGCCTAATTGTACGGCCTATGCAACTGGCTCCACATGAGCACTTAAACTAGCAGATACAGACTTTCAGAGTCATTTACCGCATATCAACAAATCTTAACTTCGCCTTAAGACTTCAGTTACTTAGTATGGCTCAAGCTGTTGGTATCCATATTAAGAAACTTAGTTTATGCGTCCAAAAGAAACTAGTTCAGACACTATCCTTACCTTGGCCATCTAGGTTCGAATGATCCTCATTTTTTGTAGAAATTTCCCTAATTTTAGTTTATATTCTATTTGCTATTATATCTTTATTATTATTATTTCAGCATCTTTAATGAACTGTAATTCCATCGACGTTACTTTACAAATCGATATTATTTAAAAAAGACTAATATTGTTATTGACTACCATACTAGAATATTCTATGTATATAAACATATATATGTATAATTGTAAAGCCAGGGTAGGAGGATATTATCGAAGAGGATATTCTTTGCCCAATTATTTTGTGTTTTATAAATTCGGCTCAGTAGAGTAAATCAGATGACTGGAACACCAAATTTTCTTCATATACTAAAACCACCAATCTCGAATACTTGATTTACTAATTCCTAGTGACTTTAACACATGTCTAACAATTTATGATAAAAGATTTCAATGGAAATTAAGTTTTAAAATGTCCTCCCGCCTAGATTCTTGTATTCTATAAGCAGTAATATATTTCTTATAGTCAAATATCTGACATGGATAAACCAAACCAACTTGTCATTAAATATTGTGTATTGATAGAATAACACGGAAATCAACTTTGATAAAAAATAGTAAAATAAATATTAAATTTACAAATCGAAACTCTGACATCCATAGATTAGTCCTACATAAATTTGTCTTCCCATTACTGGTGTCTATTTTGTTTTACTGGTAACCCCATTACAAACCTCGCGCCCAACCTTGCGTCTTTACCAAGTTTTAATAAGTGTCATTAGAGGTAAAGGAATGCCTAGGCTGGGGAATCGAACCCTGGATCACTTAATCTGACGCCAAAAGTAAGCAGAATGGAAAACACATACAACAATACACTTGAATAACACCGACTTACCTTCTTCTGATCCTGTAAGACCACTACTCTGACCTTGTGAATGCAATAAATTTTCACTTGCCAATAATGGTGATTGCCTGTACACAGAATCAGTACCCTGCGAACTAGGCTCTGATTGAGCACCTGGCTTAAATCGTTGTTCTCTTCTAGCCGGCGGTATAGTACTCAATGCACTTTTACTACGAAATACATTACTACTTCTGTTTTTCATAGGTATTTCATCGCATAAACCATCGGGATTATTATTATTATTACCAAGTTCATTATTTCCTGAATTCATCTGTTCTGCATCAGTACTAGCTTGTGTTTGTGCTGGTCTAATTCCATAATCCTGTAATGTGGTAATATCATCACTATGAAACCGTGCATGATATGTATCCTTGAGTAAACCTTTTTGTAAAGATTTATGCGAATCTGATATATGCTTTCTTGAAGTACTAGTCGACGTTGGTAGTCTAGTTATATCGACATCAGAAGAAGTAGTGGATGTAGGCTCAATGTGTGGAGTTTCTTCAAAACTTGCTTGACGTTTTATATCTGATAAAGGATGAAGTTTTGATGAAGTGGTTTTCACAGTTCGCCGGCTGCATAGACTACTTTTATTCAACTTAGCGATTTGATTAAATTGTTGAGCTATACTATCTGGTATAACATCTGAATTTAATAAATTCACTGTGATTAAGTCTACTTTAGGATTAACATTAGTAGTTGGAGTAGGTGTCACCGTCGCCGCCGTGGTTGCCATCGTTGGAGTTGTAGTACCAGTCGTCGGTGAACTTGCAGTCGTAATATTTACCACTGTATCAGTAATACTAGCCATAGTAGTGTCAGTACTGGAGGGTACCGTTGTCAGGTCGATCATCTGACCTTCATCTTTTTTTCAACGCCTACTACACCCTCAGCTTTGCTGATCAAAGATTTCCCTAGATCACGTAGAATTTTATCTGTACTCGTTTGTGGAGGCGATTCCGTGATCGCAAGAAACTCTTTACCTAAAATTTCTGGTGATGTATTCGAGCTGCCTATCGCCAATGGGAGGTAATATATATGTTCAGTGTTGCTGTGCTGTGGAATCGCTTCTCCAACTTGTTCTTCTTCAACAGTGATATTGAATACTTTTAGGACGGATGTCGACGATGATGATGGTGATGATGATGATTCGTCTTCTTTAGTGTTTGACGAATAATCAGACTGTGGAGTAGAATTATTCTTATTCATTATTATGTCACCAATTTCAGAAATTAGATTTGTATCATTCAAGGAAGCAATATTCTTCTTTTCTGCTTCTTGTTCTACTTCTTCCATTTCTTCTATGTTAGATATTTTTTCAATCGATTTTGTGCTTAATTCCTCATCATTTAAACCAGAAGTAGTACTATTCATTGTTTATATTGAACGTTGATCACTTGAACATTGAACACTTGAATGTTGAACAATATTTTAGTGGTTAGAATTGCAAAGATTTTTTTTAAAAAAAAGGTTTTGAATATAAATCATTGAATCATTATTGTTTCTTTCTTTCTTTCCTTCTTTTTTTCAATTATTTCCGCGCCTCTTGACTTTATTTTATGCAAACGTTGTGCTGGATTTCTTCGAATAGATATATACATCAATTTTTCTTGTGCTCCAGTGAAATTATATAAATAGTAAAACACTGGTAAGTGCAACAAGAAAAAAAATAATAAAAGACGAGGTGAATGGAAATACGGCAAGTGAAGTTGGATACGGATGTGGGCTATGCTGAAAATACAAGCAACCTGTGCCCATAAATATAAATTATGAAATATCAATTTTCTCCCTTGAAAACACGCACACCCTCACACACACACATACACACAAACACAACAACAACAACAACAAAAAGAAAATAACAAAATATAAATGTATGTTCTAGGCTAAAATGGTGTGGTAATCAATCAAAAGTGAAGTTTTCACAGATAAACAACCAATCAGAATACGTGTGTGCGCTTGTGTGTGTATGTGTGTGTGTGTGTGGGGGTTCAATTCTTCGGCTTAGTTTAACGCCCACAGTTCTAAGTAGACACCTACGGTCTGTAAACCTATAATATATATACATGTGTTTGTACAGTATACTGGGATAATATGTGATCACGTGGTAAAATTCAGTACTACTACTACTACTACAAATACTATTACACTTTCGATTAGTTGATACAAGTTGTTCTTCTTCTTCTTCGCCTTGTTAGATGGTTAGTTAGTTTGTTTGTACTGTGTGTTGTGTTGTGTTGCATTGGTCGTTCAAGGTGTATTTATCCTATCGTGATTATGAGATGGATGACCCACAACAAAGAAAACAAAGGAAATCTATTTAGTAAAAACAAATCTTAAACTTGTACAAATAAAGCATTTTTGTATTTTGTGTAATGTAAAGTAGGAGGGAAGTAACAGACATACGCATTGGGTGATTCTGCCTACCCTAGACAGTATGATGCACACTGATGAGTGTACAGTGATGTTGTGTGTTTCTTCTGCCTCTCTCCTACTTCTCTACAGGTGTTATTTATTTATTCTCATTTCTAGAAGGCTGTTTATTAATAATAAAGGTGAAAAAAAACTTTAAAACACTCCTCTGTGTTTTACACTCACTGGAAAGTGAATTGTTCAATGTATTTACTTTCTTTTTTATTTAATAGACATGTTGGGCATTCAAATGAACTTTAGATTATCCCGTCGATTGATTGATTGATTGGACTGAAGTGCTCGGTTTCAAGTTGACATGCCTATCGGCTTCTTGTGCAGATGCTTCGACGATTTCTGGGCATTTAATTAGAATTGAATTGGTGAATGATGACTAGCAGTGGAATCCAGGATAAAGCGCATTTCGTCCTATTTAAGACTCGTCAACTAGTTGGATGTACCTGTATTTCCCAGTAAGTGATGATGTTCCCACCGAGGCTCGAACCCTGTGCCCATAGTTTCGTCATCAGCCAAAACGTTATCCACTAGACGGGAAAATCTAAAATTAAATTAAATTAACATGACTCGTTGCACAAGGGGTGGCTCTCGTGGCCCAAGTGGTCTAGTGAATAATGCTTTGGCGTTTGAAATTATGGACACTGGGTTCGACCCTTGGTGGGAACATTGTCACTCACTGAGAAATGCAGGTACATCCAGCTATTTGATGAATCTCAAATAAGACGAAATGCGCATCGTGGATTCCACTGTTAGTTACCATCCACCAATTAAATGTTGGGCATTCACTGCTTTTCAGTCACTTGTTAGATTTCGTCATGAATAGGGATCATTGAAAACCAAGGGGCAGTGGGAAATTGTTTCGTTCTATTTTTAAGGACTCCTCAATTGCATGCACCCACGACCCAAAATCGAAGCTAACCTGTAACCACCAGGTAATGAAATCAAGCTTGTTGACCATTCATCCATTTCCTTTTTATTATGCCTTGATTCCACACCGTATTTTTGGTACGAATATGGAATTTTCAGCATGTGATATCAGTAACCCGCCTAAATTTTGCAGGCCGACCAATTGATATCGGGGTGTGCATCGGTAGGGGATTGAACCCCGAACTGTTTGCATGGTCGGCGAGAGTCCTAACCGCTCTGCCACCGACACTAGATCCTAACTTTGTCAACTCATGATGTAGCGCCATTCTCAACAACCCGTTATGTCAGTGTCTAATTCACCTTGATATGGGTCACCCTAGTGCTTAGAACTTGTCACTACAGCTCCACTGAGTAGCCACCAATGAGCAAGAAATTGATATCAAGATAAAGCGATTTGTAGGCATATGGATTAGTTTTAATTGTTAGATTTCGTCACGAATGCTATTCGTGAAGCTGTACTGAGAATTTGTGACAACAGGAGTCCATTACGTCGACGTGAAGTAGTGGATGCTGTATCACGAGTTAGAATTCGTGGGTAAATAAATTACAGCCCAAATGTCTGAATAATCGGAGGATTCGACCTCGTAACCTGAAGGTCATTGGTTCAATCCCTGGTGGGATCACAAGGGAGAACGGTTGTAGGTCCCAAAACAGGACGAAACAGATGTCCTGGTTTTCTGTGACCTGTCTAGCTGATACTGCTTTGCGACTGGATCTAATTGTACAAAATTAATCCAAAACCCCAACACTCCCCCATCATCTGAATTCACTAGTCTAACTAAATGGATGTAGTAGAGTGGACAGCTGATGTGTATTCGCCTTGAAATTAACAGTATGATGCTTACCAACCAAGCATGCGGTCTAGGTTCGATTTCCAACAGGTGAACTTCTAAACATCCTATAGCTTTTGAAAAGAATGGTTACTGAGCAAAGAATATTCTTTTCGATAACCCTTTCCTCATCGGGTTCTACATTTATATATGCATTATAGCAATTGAATTAGTGTTATTTTTAACAACACTGATGTTTAAATGACATCGAATCATTAATATCAATAGATTACACTTCAACATCATCAACATTTATTTATTTTATATTATTTTATTTAAACGCATAAAAACTTGGTACAATATGGCACCAAGAAAGTTGCGCCACACAATAATAATAAAATAACATAGATCAAAAGAAAAAAAAAGGAGAGAAATATATATATAAGTAGAGAACGAATAAAGAACTTCATCTGGAAGGAAATCAGTCATGCCTAACAAGTTCAAACAGTATTCGTTAACTATCATCGGGAAGAAAAGAAAGGAGGAAATTGCAACACGAGTGATAGCACGCGATAAGTTTCATTGATTGTTTGTTGCTTTATTCAATTCATTGTGTGAGGGCTGAAATCCTGCCCAGGCGCCCAGGCCGAAGCAGGTGGTTTTATTAAGGGACCACCCCCCGAGCCTTTGACTTGGAGTCTAATCCACAAGGCAGCGGAGCAGCGTCAGGAGCTGGTTGCCGGTGACCATATAGGCTCATACGCCATTTGATCCGATGGGATACTAGAGCCCATGTACCCCATGGTAGCTGCTTTTAGTTTAACCGCTATTCAAACAACCTTCCTGACATGGTAGGACCTGCAGGGACAGGTCCCAGTCAGTTTAGCATGTTGGGTCATTACTGTATTCAAGCTCGATCATCACGACAAGGTAGCAGTTATCAGCCGGGATCATCAACATAACAGTACACTCAATATCAGACAGGCGAATTAGGAAAGATAATAAAACAAATTCGTGAATTTATAGTTTCCAGTGAAAGCCAAGCAGTATTAGTGCATGGACTTGTTTCTTTTGCACACAAAGCACTGGTTATTTCACGTGAATCGTGATAACCTCTGCTGTTTGGAGTATTCGGTACCTGGATGTTTAGGTAATTTTTTAGGCACCCGTAAATATAGAGAAGGATTCTTCAACTCTGACTTTGTGGCCGGTTTGGATCAGGTGCTCTAATATCGACCTGCTGATTGTTTTTGCTACACCTTTAATTATTCACACTGGTAGATTTTCCTGAGCAAGAAAAATCAAGTTCCCAGAACAATTGCAGACTGGTAAAAAGGGGAATTCAGATGTGGGGCTAACAAAACCCACTCAGCAAATAAGACGACAGCAATGCTACTGAAAATTCAAGATTGAAGCTTGAGGCCTTATGGGTCCAATAGGAACACATGAGATGAAAGATAGTCAATCCAGAAAGATCAGTGCTGCGGTAATCAATTTTTAGATTTAAAGATATACGATGTTTTTGTCAAGTAAACTATGTTTAAGCTCAGCTGGTAAGACACCGGGTTGGTAAATGGGGGGCTACTGGTTTGAATCCTAATGCAACGCAGATTCCTATTTATTATTATTATTTCCTTTAATTCCTAGAGGAACATTGGGCTTCAGCCACATGACTCCATCGCGTTCGGTTCTCTCCCAACGTTTTCACATGGCACCAGGTCTGTCCATATGCTTTAAACTCCTCTTCACAAGACCTCCTCCAAGTCACCCTTGGACGACAAACTTGGCTCTTCCCTTTCGGTTCCGCTCGAGGGCTTGTCTAGTGATGTCACTGGATGGTTGCCTCAGATTGTGGCCAGCCATTCCACCTCCATTTCTTCCTGCATATTTGTTGCACAATCCGTTTGCTCATTGCCAGAGATCCCTGTTGCTCATCTTTTCTGGTCGGCCATCTGATCTTGAGAGAAGTAATGAGCGAAGACAGCTGTTTATGAAGGCCTGTAGTTTGTTTGAGGTGCTCCCTATGACTCGCCAAGTCTTGATGCGTATAGTAGCACTGACTTCACATTGGAGTTGAAAATCCAGATCTTATTTTCATGTTGAGTAGTGCTATTGACCTCCACGCAGACTGGAGGGTAATGAAAGCTTGTCTTGCTTTCCCGATCCACGCTCCTTTGATATTCTCATCAGTTTCACCCAGGTAGGTAGGTGAAGGAGGTTGCTTCTTTCAGGTTCCTCCCATTTATGCTGATTTTTTTCTGTTGTTGTTGTTGGCCAGGAATCTTCATCACCTCTGTTTTCTCTATGTTCACCTGAAATCCTATCTTCTGTGGATGGTTCTTCAGCCAACTTGTTGCTTTTCACTTGCATATCTTCCAGTTTGTAGGAAATCAGATATATATCATCAGCAGAGTCCAGATCCTCCAAGTTTTTTGTGTGAGTCCATTTTATGCCTGTAAATTATTACCCACAACAAAAAGACTATGTAGTTTTTAGCCCACCTCTTCTCTTGTGCTTTTGGAAACTGTGATCATCTTAAGAGGCAAATAAATATGAAGTCAGACAGCGACAGAAGTGATTATAACTCCAAAGTGCATTGATTTGAGAAACGAGAAAGATATTTATTATCCGCACAATTAAATGTTAATTACTAATTAAAAAGATGCTTAAGGTTATTTTGATTATATT